GAGAAATAATCACAGGGGCAGATCTTGAGGGGGAACAGAGGCTGACCAGAGGGTAGGCCTCTGGCCCGGAGAAGAAACAGACATGAAATAAGATGAAGTTACACTTATCAATGCACTAAAACAGTTGCGGAACAAGAGGTAGATCCAATAAAATAAATGTAACCGCCGGCTACTTGACCGCAACCCTGAGGATGGAACAAGGAACGTTGGGACCTGTGAAGCAGAACAGCTTGGCCGCCAGTCCGCGGTTTGGATTGTCCAAAGGTCCTCCCCGTTTCCTTTTTCTTTTGTTTTTTCGCAGCCCATTTTAAAGACTCATAATCAGTTGTACTTGCCAAAATGTCAATTCTCCTGGCTATAACTCATTTTCTTTTCTGGCAACGGCCGGTCGAAAACTGTTGGTAATTTTATGCCTCGCTGTCCGATAATGAAACCGTACTGTGCTGTGTTGTAGTAATTTCGAGATACGGGTAAAGGAAGTTCAAAGGGTTGTTGCTGTGGACGATGAAGTAGAAGGGAAAACGATCGCCACACACGGCAATTGGAAGTTACTTACACAAGATTGCATTGTAGAATTACGTAACTAAATTATTATTTGCATAAAGTTGGTCTTAAAGCGTCACTTTCATGTCAGGCTTGCGAGGAAATGGAAATGATAAATGATTTCTTTTTGTTCTGTCGGCAATATTTTTATCTGCGAAAAAGATACCTGGCAGCTCCACTTGAAAAATTAGGATTAGAATTAAATGTGGCAATAATTTTTTCGTTTGGCAGCGTTAAATTTGGTTATAGCCACAGGGTCGTCTGCTCTGCGGTATTTGACTACATAATTGAAACAAAGTGACTGCCATGTTAAACTGCCCTTCTCTCTCTCTCTCTCTCTCTCTCTCTCTCTCTCTCTCTCTCTCTCTCCATATATATATATATATATATATATATATATATATATATATATATATATATATATATATATATATATATATATATATATATATATATATATATATATAAATAATTCGTTTTAGACCCCCCCATTACCTCTGTCTCAAATCGCATCTGATAACCTGCATCGATCCCTGCTCAGATATATTCCTTTTTCGATTTTTGGCTTGTCTTGTTATATATTTTTTTTTTTCAGTTCAAAATTACTTCGTGTTTGAAAAACCATAGGCCTTTTACTTAAGATCCTGCCGCCTGGTTCTTGGCCGATCCCCCTTTGTGGGTGTGCACCAGAATAACAAGGATCATCATCACAGTAAAGCCGATTGCAGAGGAGAATTTCAATAAAGTGACATGAGCGGAACTAGCGGATGTAGTGAGGCACTTACCTCCTGCAGCATCTGGACCAGATGGGGCAACCTCAGCAGTGATAAAAGTACTATGAAAGCCGTAATATGGTTAATTACTCTTTGAAAAATTCTTGGATACCTGCGGATTCGAAGCTTTTCAAAATAATTACGATACTTAAAAAACAGGGACTTGGGTTTGCCTTTGACAATGTAAGGTCAATTTGTATTGCATCAAATTCGGTTAAACTAATTGGAAGAGTTTTGAATGCACATGTAATGAAATACATTGAGGAGAAGTCAATACTGAGCCCCAGTTAAATTGGCGTTAGATCGGGATGTTCCATCTGGTGTGCGCACATGGATTTAGAGAGTCGTATTCAGTTGGCTCGGTGTAGAAGATAGTATTGTGCATTAGTTGCTCTAGATCTGGCTAAGGCATATGACAAAGTGGAGCACAAAATACTAATACAGCAGATGGAAATGTATCGCTTACCAAACTACATGACAGTATAGGTAGCAGAGTTTCTAAGGGAGAGAGAGTTTTATTGCTCTCAAAGGGGTTGTTTTTCCAACAGATATCAGCAATACCGTGGCGTACCACAGGGGGCAGTGCTCTCACCATTGTTAAACATTTTCCTCAGCTCGATTCCAACACATGGCGATAGTCATTTATATGTGTATGCAGATGACATTGCCTTCTTTGCGGCAAATAGTGATCTGCAATTACTTTATGGGACATTATAGAATTACCTAAACATGATAGAATAATGGCTTGAAAAGATTAAATTTTTTAAACATCAACGAAACCGCGCTTCTAGCTTTCTCATTCAAAGGTTCTGCCAACATCTCCCTGATGTACGGTACAGAGTTGATTCCTCATGTGGATTTACTCAAATACTTTGGCATCACATATAACAGCTCGTTAAATTGGAAGAGTCACATCGACCAAAGAGGGTCTAAGGCAACACAAGCCATGGGGTGGTTATGCAAGCTCAGTAATAGAAAAACGGGGTTGCAAAGAAATACATTGGGAATAATCTGTAAAATGTATATGCATCCTATCATAGAATTCTGCTGTGCGTTATTTTCTGAGAGTGCGACTTATAAAATCAGACTGCTCATACTGTTAGAAAGGGAAGCTTTATGATTGTGCCTTGAACTGCCCGTTTGTTGCTAACAGTGCTCTACATAGAAGCGTGTCTTCCTTCATTGTTAAATAGAATTGAAATACTTACTATCGAAACATCTTTAAAACTATACACTTCGCCCCAGAGAGAACCGTTTTATGCTTTTATTAAAGAGCCAATTGTATTTTTTGAAACTTGGTCGGGATTCCACTCCCCACAAATCACATTCGTTCAAGCGCTGTTGGAATCACTGGATGTCCAAATCAAACATATTTTCTCAACAAGTAACTTTAATTTAGACCTTCAAATAAAATTTGAGAACATTTACCCCTCTCATCATCATCATCAGCCTGACTACGTCCACTGCAGGGCAAAGGCCTCTCCCATGTTCCGCCAGTTAACCCTGTCCTGTGCTTGCTGCTGCCAATTTATACCCGCAAACTTCTTTATCTCATCTGCCCACCTAACCTTCTGTCTCCCCCTAACCCGCTTGCCTTCTCTGGGAATCCAGTTGGTTACCCTTAACGACCAGCGGTTATCCTGTCTACGCGTTACATTCCCGGCCCATGTCCATTTCTTCTTCTTGATTTCAGCTACGATATCCTTAATCCTTGTTTGTTCCCTAATTCACTCTGCTCTCTTCTTGTCTTTTAAGGTTACACCTACCATTTTTCTTTCCATTGCTCGTTGCGTCGTCCTCACTAACGCGAAGCAACTGCCATTCCAGTATTTAAATGATCGGCTACAAGATTACTTGGCACACGTGAACATGAACAACATTATTGCGACTGATGCATCCGTATCGAATGAAGAGGCTGGGTTAGGTATCTTCTCGCATTTCACTGACTGGTCTTTTTTTGTTAGGCTTCCGGATTACACACCAATATTCATAGCAGAATTATTTGCTGTTCTACTGGCACTGCGAAAACTTCCTTTGGGCGAATCAGAAGCAGTTATAATTACAGATTTTTTTTCAGCATGTGCTGCTCTGTGATCGGGAACCAACTTAACGCTTATGCATATGTTTCGACAGCTCATACCGGCAAACTTGCAAAAACTTCAGTTGTTAAGGGTACCAGGCCATTGTGGCATATATCTCAATGAGATGGCGGATTCATTAGCCACAGTATCTCTTAGCGGTCTCCTTATCCCAATTTTGCCTGATACAGCTCATGCGACAGCAATAAGGTTTAGAACTAAACCTTTGTTTACAAAATGAAATCAAATCCTTCTCATTGGATAAATTTCGAGATTTCGCACATATAAGATGCTGCTGGAATTGACAGTAGTGCTCAATACGGCAATTGGAAGTTAATTCCGCAACTAAATTATTATTTGTATAAAGTTGGTTTCAAAGCATCATTTTTATGTCAGGCTTGCGAGGAAATGTAAACGATAAATGATTTCTTTTTATTCTGTCACCGATACTCTTATTAGCGGAAAAGATTCCTGGTAGCTTCACTTGAAAAATTAGGATTCGAATAAATGTGGCATTAATTTTATCCTTTGGCAGCATTAAATTAGGTTATAGCCACAGGGACGTTTGCTTTGCGTTATTTGACTACATAATTGAAACAAAGCGATTGCCATGTTAGTGTACTTTTTTTTTACTTATATCTTTCGTTTTGGACCCATCATTACCTCTGTTTCAAACCACATCTGATAGCCTGCATCCTTGCTCAGATATACTCCTTTCTCGATTATTCGCTTTCCTTCTATATGTATATATATATGTGTGTGTATGTGTTTCAGTCCAAAGTTACTTTCTGTTTGTAAAACCATAAGCCTTTAACTTCCTGTCAATCCTGCCGCCCAATTCTTGGCCGATTCCCCTTTGTGGGTGTGCGCCAGTATTATAAGGATCATCATCAGCTCAAATGGTAGATCTTCGGGCACTTGTCTGAATGTTGCAGTTTCGGTCCCTGCCAGTGGCTGGTTGTGTCTTCGTCCACTTTATTTTGTTCACATTTGTGTCATTACTACTACACCGCAGTCAAAACAGTACAGTTAATGACATCTGCACCTTCTTTGGCTTCGTTGTTTGTTGGCTTTAATTTAGGCTATATCAATAAAAAAAAATAAGCTTTCATAAAAATTCCCGTTTTTTTGTTCATAGTTGCTATCATTACACTTCTAATGAAGCAGCAAGTGGAGATGCTCCTCTTTATCGACTGCTTTCCTTTTTTTTTTTTCAACTATTCAAGAAGAGTTCATAACACACATCAGTTGCAAGGATTCACTTTCCCTCTTCTTCATGCAGCTACATGGGGAAGCTGAATGGCCATGCATCATGCAGACGTTGATTCCATTTGCGGCAGCGTGCTAATAAGTGTCAGTGGGTGTAGATAACTTTCTATTCGCGGGAATGCAAGCACGAGTAATGAAAGTTGATCTTGCACTACAGTAGCACTTGCTTGACCTAACTCCTCTGTAAGAGAAAGCAGTTGTGATTCTTGCTTGTTCTGATATGCAGGAATTTTATCTCTAAGCTAATCTGAAGAAGATTTGTTGCCCATGAAAAAGGGGGAAAAGTCAAACGCTATCACCACAAGTCGTGTTTAATTCACTGCCTTCACTGTTGCAGGACTGGACTACGAGTGCCTTGCGGTCATTACCAGATCTGCAGTGCCCTCTTTGCACGAGGAATATGTTGCTGGTGATTCAGGTTTACAGCCCTTTGGAGAAAAGCGAATGGTACCACCGGACGATATACATATTCTGCTGCATTAACCCAAGCTGCTGGAACAAACAGGAAAGGTATTTGAAGTTCGCCCATAATTGGGCTGTCTCTTGTCTACACTGTCCGGCTTTATGAAATGGAACACGCAAGCATAACGCCTGCGCTCTGCGGCGGCTGCCAACAACACCGTCAAACCACAGCCAAAAAAGCACGTCAGCTTCTGACGTGATCTAATGGCAAACAAAGTAAAGAGTAATGGCTGTTGAAGAAGTGCTGCTAGATAACACTCCCACTCTATTCTGATAACGGCCGGTGCCGCCAAAAACAGGCGCGCTTTCTTCAGTCGTCCGTTGATGGTGCTGTAGGCAGTCATTGCAGTGTGCAGGCCATGCGCTCGCGAGCTTCCTTTCATAAAGGACGGCAGCATACACTGATGAAGTAGATTTATAAGCACAAATTTAGAGCAAGGTTGATGGGACAGATGTACTTTTAAGCAGGAATCGGTGAGAACTTATTGTGTGAGAGCCCTGTACATTACTGTGCGGGGTACTGTATGTCATGCTGAGACTGTATACCTTACTGCGCGCTGATTGGATAGCCCGAAAGCTTAGTACATTTGCTGCAAGGGCACATAAGCTAGGGTAGACTTTTCAATGTCTCAACATTTAATGCCATTTACACAGTCAACTCGGCCAAAGCCATACTTTGGTAGGGCTAAAATCTGAAATTTTATTAATTTTAGTATGCATCTACATGTGAGTTTTCACTGCTTTTAAGGGGGGACGTGGCAATGAGAAGTGAAATTAGGTCAAAATGTTCAGTTCTTCAATAAAATTTTTTCTGTAATCCTGAGACCATGTTTTACATCATAGTGTTGTTTTAGATCAAAATAAATGGTAGAAGTTGAGAAACGAACATTTAACTGGTGGGCTGTCATCAAAAGCTATGTGAAAATTGGGCATAGCAAAATAAAAATTTGCCGCTTTCCCTAGGCAAAGTGCCACCATATTGGCATCATCATAAAGATGACAGATTGGAGCTCAAGATAGCCACCAAGATGCATTTCTCCAATGAAAAATAAAGCCAGCTTTCTTCCGAGTTCCGTTTTATCAGCTTCTAGCTCCACTTTCTTTGAGCTCCATTTTCTGAGGTTTCACTTTTTGAGCAGCTACTGTCAGTCATCCCTGTGCCATTTCACAACAAATTAAGCTATAGCCATTTAATTTCCTGCACTTGGATTCAGAGCGCTGTAAAGGTGTCCATATTTGTGTGCACATCGTGCACGCTTTTGTAATTGGCTTTTTGTAAAAGTTTTTGGTAAGACAATATGTCCAGGACATTTTAGAAAAAAAATGTTGTGTGCTTACTGAAATATTAAAAATAAACCTGCATCTGCATCACGGCACAAAATGGACCCTTGTAAATATTTTTATGCAAAAATTTTTACGAAGTTGTGTCTAATTAGCTAATTAATTTTGTGGTGACAATGAAAGTCTATCAAGTGTTATAATTTAAAAGTTATATTAGATAACTCAAAACCGATTTTAGTTATGATATCAGCACAACAATTGACATCTGCATGCCAAATTTCATCCTATTAGCTTCATAAATAACAAAGATAATTTTCATTGCCACGTCTCCCCTTAAAAGGCACAAGTTAGGCCCGTGTGCTCAGATTTAGGTGCACGTTAAGGAACCCCCAGGCGGTCGAAATTCCCGGAGCCCCCCACCACAGCGTCTCTCGTAATCATATGGTGGTTTGGAGGCATTAAACCCCACATATCAATCAAGGGGCACAAGTTAAAACAAGGTGTAATGTAAATATCACTTCTCTGTGTGTGTCCAGTATATGTATTAGAAGATGGGCTTAAATAGGCACACAGACTTCTTAACACTATCTGGAGAAATATGTTTTCGAACATTACCTTTCAGCTGGAAGGTTGTCAGAAGCCAGGAGCGTTCATTACAAGCAGAGAAGACCACTCTTCCCAGCAGTTCGATGGCCTCCGCATCTTTTCAATGGTTGGAAGACCAGGACGACTGGGGGGACGATGACACTCAGCCTGACAGGCTATCACCTCAGAAAGCATGCAGTGCCAACACTCAGGGCCTTGAAGCAAGCCTTGGCTCCCTCTCGGTGGCACCTGGAGTCACTGCTCCAGCATCACCGCCTTTGAACAAGGAAGACACATTTGATTGCGAGATGGAAGAAGCAGTCGAGCCTGTGCCTCTGCGATCTAGTCAAGCTCTCGAAGCCATGGAGGTCCTGAAAAAAAAGGAGCGAGAGCACAGAGAAATGCTGAGTAGCTTGAAGCAACCGAATGCGTTTAAGAGTTTTTACATTTCTGTCGAGGAAGAGAGAGAAATACCTGCAGGTGAGGTTTCGGCTAATGCCCATGCCAGGAGGTTGTTGCAAGAGTATGAACTGGGAGAAGGAAATGCTTTTAGGGTTTCCAGGTACCTACTTTATTAACTTCAAAACTATGATGGTATAAATGGTGTAAACACTGACACAAGCATGTTGATTAGGGAAGAAGGCAGTGATTGAGGGTTTATACATTGCAGTGTGTTCATGTGTGTAGTCTAGAGACAGACACTGATTGTTTTATGCTTATGAAGCAAAGTTTTGTACAGGAAATGAGGTGCCATCTGCGAGCGAGAGTGGTATAGTCATTGGCGGTATACTTGCCATCCTGTAGCCTGGAATAGTTAAAATCCTGTGGCCGTCATGCATTTCAAGAAACGAAAATCTGCCTTGCACTATACGGTATTCATATGCACCTTATTCAGAATGAGGCACAGCATGCAAGCAGCAGAGAGCAGCAAAAAGCAATCTATTGTGGTGTCTGATTTTGCTTCTTGGGAGTTTGTTTTCTCTAGCAACTTGTGTGAATAAACATGTTCAAGATCACTGTGCACAGCATTGCTAATGTGGCCTGAAACTATATGCTATGTGCAATGCATACTTTCTTTGTACTTTGGGCATGCCTCAGTTTCATTAGCCTCTCTGCACTATGGACTGTGCAAACAAAAGCTCTATCAGTGTTTTACTAACAAACCGTTGTGTATTGTTTTAGCAGGGGGCAAGGATGCGTGACATATGCACAGGAGTTGTACGAGAAGGCTTACCGCAACGACGTCGTGTTCCACAGGTTTCATAAACGTGTGCAACCTTACGCACATCAATTAATGAGGTAAGCGTTTGGCTGATATGCATTTAAGATGCAGAAAAACATGTCTCGTAGTTGGTAATTACTGAAATGCATATTGTCACTAGAAAGCACGTATACACAGAGGAAAAACAACTAAACATCACTGGCATTGCAAAACAGAATGTCGAACCGAAAAAGTGTGGGTGCCAGTTTGGTATTGATGCACTTCATTTCACGCTAACTTTGTTCTGCTTCAAAGAAATGAAAATTTATGGTGGTTATTGAACTGGCTAAAGCAAAAAAAAAAGGAAGGGTGCAAGTGATCGTATCAATTCGGAGGTATTGGCAGATATTGCAGTTGAAGGATACCTTGTGGTTATTTGAGCCGCTTGTTTTTAAATTTGACAGATTTTTCTCTCAATTCAAGTTCAACTGAGGATCAGACGTGTTCCAAAAATATCTATTTGGGTTTGGAAGTTCGCAAAGGAAGCAGAATTTACCGGAGCGTGCACGCTAATTATCTTCATCAAAACGATGGCCAAGGTGCTGTCTGATATGTATGAAACAATGCCTGAACTTTGGAGCAGTTTTTTTCCAAGTAGAAAGCGCACAGTCCTTGTTTACAGGAATAGTCTTGATTAAAATATGACCTATCGTAGTGGTGGCCTACCATAAAATCCTGAGCAACACACACACACACACCCCTGTCGGCCTGGTGTGCGACCGATGGCGGCGCTGCGAACCGCGCTTGTATAACGTCAGTATAAGGATTCGTGCACTTTGGAGGCACAGCACCGTATAGAAACCACTGTCGTGGTAAAACTCAGCAAAGACGCAATTCAATGTGTTGTCTTGTGTGTGGTGGCTACCGACATTGTTTTAACGACTCTGAATGTCAGCTTTTTACGCTCTATGTATGAAACAATGCCTGAACTTTGGAGCAGTTTTTTTCCAAGCAGAAACTGCACAGTCCTTGTTTACAGGAACAGTCTTGGTTAAAATATGACCTATTGTAGTGGTGGCCTACCATAAAATCCGTGCAACACTCCCCCCCACCCTGCAACACGCACACACCCCTACTGGTTTGGTGCGCGACTGATGGCGACGCTGCAAACCGCGCTTGTATGACGTCAGTAAAAGGATTCGTGCGCTTTGGAGGCACAGCACTGTATAGAAACCACTGTCATGGTAAAACTCGGCAAAGATGCAGTTCAATGTGTTATCTTGTGTATGGCGGCTACCGACACTGTTTTAAAGACAGTGAATGTTGGCTTTTAACGCTCATTTTAAAGGCACAGCGCCTTGTTTCTTAAAACTGTGGCCGCTTGTCTCCGCGGCAAGTGCTGTGCAATGGCGTAGTACTGCACAGTGCTTCTATATGAACATCCACTCGTAAAAAGGGTGTTAGCTTTCACAACTATCCTAAGGGCTCGAAGCCGAGGAAGAAGTGGATAGTCAAATTCGGAAACGGAAAGCGCCCCACTCGGTCATCGATTGTGTGCAGCAACACCGGCTTGCGCCCTGTCACCACCCATAACGGCAATCCATGCACGATTATCTAAAATTGGTATTTTAATGCTGATTTGCATTTGATCGCCGAAGGCGCAATTTAAACGGCTGCTCTGAAGTAATTATCTCATGTGTTGCTTGCGAATGCCAGGGTGGCAGAAACCAGCGATCCTCACACATATCCTCGTGTTCACTATCACTATTGTTGCACTGCAAAAAAAAGTATTCTAAGGGAAAGGGCACTTCTTTTCGGGACTTTTGTGAAAGCTAATGTTCTTCTCACAAGCGAACGAAGCGCCCCCCCCCCCCCCCCCCCCTGAGGCACAGAGCAGTACTTCATCATTGCACACAACTCGATAGCCACGGGGACGTTGTGTGGTGGGTTCGCAAGTGCACATGTTTGCAGAACCAGATCTGTGGCGATGATGTGATCTTCATTGATGGCACCGCCTGCGCACATTCAACAATGTGGCTTGCATCGTACACCACTGTGCCGTCGAGTAGACACCACGACGTTTTGATTTTTGCATCTACGTGCTTGTAGATGCTGGAGAAAGGCACGCTCATCGAAATTTCGAAACACTTGAACTAATTAGTGTATCACGACGAAAACTGCAGATGACGAGCAAGAACACCCACATAGTTTGACTTTCTGGCCAGCAGTGCAGTCGGCGGCATCGGCGTGCTTATCGGCCATCCGGTAGGTTTCTTGGCTCTGCCGATTGAGCTGCAACCAAAAAAAATTTCATAATTGCACTCAAAACATTCCTTGTGGGCCTCAATCGACCTTCGCGAGGCTGTTTGTTCGACAGAGTTCCCCACCAAAAAGCAGACGATCCGTGCACAGGAGGAGCGGCTGCTGCAGCACGGTTGAGAGCGCAGTCCACAAACTGACGTCACAAGCGAGAGGGCACCACTCCAAGATATCGAGGCCAATGGTGAAGAATAATCTGGCAAGATATGGAGAAGGCATGCTCTTGCTTGGTCACTGATCATAATTCAAGATTGCAGCAAATGAGCCATTATATTAAGAATAAAGAATGCACAACGATACTTCTGGCAAAATACTTTGTTGAATATGCACTCACTCACTGTTTTTTTTTGCCCTTATTGGACGAATAAACACAGTAAACGTAATAGTAAAAATGGAAGGAGGAAAAAAAGGGTGCATATTTTAAATATATCCTGAAAAATGGACACAATCAAAATATCATCTCAGAGAAGTTTAAGTGCACCAACACCTACACAGTGAAATGTGAGTGAAAGTTGGCCCTTGCACTGTGAGCTTTTTTTTTTAATGTAAAGCAATCACAACTTGACGTCTTCATTTGACTTCAATATTTAGTCTAAGGAAAATAAAGCACCATTTTAGCTTCGAGTTGTACTTTACATCTTTTGTATGCTAACTAGCGTTTATGTGCAACTACACAGCTGTCACAGTACAGACCACAGTAAACAGTAATAAGACGGTAAGTTGGGCCACTTGGTTAGGATCCATCGTGAACTTACTTACAGTGCAACACCAGAAAAAATACAGGACAGGGAAGGAGCAAAAAGAAAAAGACAGCGCCGTCTTTTTCTTTCTCTTTTGCTCCTTCCCTGTCCTGTATTTTTTCTGGTGTTGTGCACAGTGTAAGTAAGTTCACGATGGATCCACAGTAAACAGTTTACTGATGTTCAAAAAAAATTGACATCAGTTTGAAGGGGCACATAAGAGAAGTAGTGGGTCAGTTTGAATTGCTAATTAAGTCATTTCAAACTTGGTGCTTCTTCATTTCTTTTTTTATTGCATTTTACAGTTACTTACTAAACCAAGTGAACGTAATTTTCTCTTCAGTGTCCCTCGACATCTAAAGCACCATATGCATACGTATTACTCGTATAAACTAGATGTTCTTTTTATTTAGTCTTCTTTTTTATTTTTTCATGTGAAATTTGGGAAGGTTCTGCTGGGAAGGAGAACCACTTTTTATTTGCCCTCCACCACCATCTTGGGAGCCCAAAAACTGCGAAGCTTGCGGCGCCCGACGTTGTTTTGAGCTTCAAGCCATGCCAGCACTCATTCCAAGCTTGAAAATCGAAGGCCTTCACAAGCTGAAAGGTAAGTTGACCTTTAATCTGTTAGCGTGGTCATTAGCTTGGAATCTGTGAATTATCTGAATCACCTTGCTTCACGAGACGCTTGTGGTGGAGAGGATGTCATTTTGAAATATATACAGCTCTTGACATAATGGCAAAAACAAAAGAATGATGTTCACAACTCGCTCTATAACAAACTTCTAATTACAAGAAACACAGCATGACAGACGAGTTTAAGTTTGGATTACACTACCTTTGAATGTTTATTAACGCTGCTGGCATTCGCAAGGAGTATATGCTTGAGAAGCTCAGGCGTCTTTCATGCAGCAAGGGCGAGTGAAAATGTTGCGGTGCCTTACCTTAGGGAAAATGACGCTATGTAGGGCTAGTGATGGCCGCCTTACTATGCGGCACATGTCATAGCACTGTTTCCATTGCATTTGTGTGTTCCAGATGCACCTGTAGAATTCGGGACAGTGCTTGTCTACTCATGCAGTGCAAGCTGCTGGAAGGACGGAGACTCCTGGCGACCTGAAGTGGCTCTTGTTCAGCCAGATCCCGATGCTGTATTTTGGGAGCATGGCACATAGCAGAAATATATACTATGATATAGCCTTTCTAAGTCTTCCGTGTCTACAATAGTATTCTCTTTGTATGTCTAGTCAAACTTCCATCAAGATTTCGACCATAGTGTGGACTTGGGAACACATTGGGTGTGCGGTATGGTTCCATCTGCCCGATGCTATGCTAGAGCCGAATGCTGTTACCACATTGCCTGCCATCATCGTCTTACTGCCACATCCATACCTGCCAAGTCTGCCATACTTGCCGGATTTATTCGGGAGACTCCCGGATTTTGATCATTTCTTACGTTTGTACAGTTGTCAGGGAAATTTTTGAGAAATTGAAATTTCTGTGCGAATATCCAGCCATATTCAGAAAAATGCATTCCAAGTCATCCAGGTTTTTTGCGAACCTATCACATTTTATTGCAAACGAATACCGTATGTACTCACGTAATGAATACACTCCCATAATAAATGCACCCCCAACTTCAGTCATGAAAATTTGGATTTTTTTTCTTGCGTATTAAATGCACCCCCTACATTCATCCTCGGCAGTCCCGGTAACCGACACCTGGCGCCTCCTCACCCGTTGGATCTCTTCTGTTCTTTATTATTTTGCCACCTCCCCAGCCACCTTGGCTCCCCCCCCCCCATCCTTTGCCCATTGCCGCGTGCCGTATTGTTTTTCTTTCTATCTGTGCACAGAACGTCCCCTGTCTTTTCTGTGCACCACAGCGGGGTTCACGAACGGTGCGAGTGTAGACATCGCAACTGATCAGCATGCAGCGAGCGAAGGTCACGAAGCTGCCCGCGCCAACCAACGATCGCATCTTGTGAATATGAAAAAGCCCAACCATGTGCACTCAATTTTCGAGCGACGACAGCAGGATTTGCTGTCGTGTAGGGTCATGTGTTGCTATCGCATCTCAGGTTTCTGAAAAACCAGGAAAAAGTAGCTTGTTATCTACAAAAAATCGTGTCAATTTCTGCAACTTGGTAGCAGCCCCGATTCTCGCTTTGCTTGTTATCCACGCGTAGAGGAACTTCTCATGTAAAAGCGAGGCGGTGGCCGTATTTGGCGTTAATCTTGTAATTAACTGTTTGTTTTGATGCTTCGGGGGTAGCTTGCAGCAATGCTGGTTACTTGCTGCAACATTAAAGGCGTGGTCGTCGTGCGAGGTTGCCGCGAAGTTGGCAAAGTGCGTCGCTGTGCAAGCTTTTGGGCGCCCCTCGAGATCACAGCAGATATTGCAGTTAAAGGATTGCGAGAAAAGATAGCCACCAATCGCTATTATGGCGTGTGCAGGCGGCCGGGAGACAGCTTGCAGAAGATAGCGCCATGAACCACTGAAGATGAACAAAGTGCAACAAAGAAGCCGTTTCCAAACAGTGTACGCGTATGTCAATTGCGAAAAGCTAAGCAGCCGAATTTTTGTTTTTGCATTGCCGTATTTTTTGCTCGTCCCGAAAAAGTTTTTATATAATTTAACCCGCGTTATTAAATGCGCTTCCCAACTTCGTTCCGTTTTTTTTTAGAAAAAATGTGCAATCATTACGCGAGTAAATACAGTATAGGGCAGTAATCTAAACGTACAGCAAAATCTCAATGTGAGACCGGGAGATACGAATTCGTGAAATTATCCAGCCATAGTCTACTATGTGTCTATTGGGCCAATATTTGGAAGTTTCGAACACTATTTTTCGTCGTGGTAGGTTGTATGAATTACAGTACCGAAACCGTCAAATGAAGGTTGAGCTTCGGAAGAACTCGAAACAATGTAAAAATCGCGCGCGGCCAGCGCACACTGTCGGAACTGTGATTATCGTTTGCCACAACCACTGTGGACGAAAGAGCGGTTGCTCTTGACATGATCATGTATGGCGACAATGTAACTGACAAAACTTCGGAAGTGCATGCAGTTCCAGTGCTCGACCAGTCAAAGCGACGATGCTTTCCACAAATACTGTGGACAAAGCTGCTGCAGATGCGATCATAGATCGCAAAAAAATAATAAACAAAAAAACACGATTTGGTTTTGAAGTAGCCAGCGCACGTGCCTGCAGAAAAGGCTAGATGCTTTCTTGGCAGTTCTTTCCAAATAATCTAGTAACGTTCCTGTCTACCTGCGTATTTTGGCTATACTTTGGCATTCAGTTATCAGTTGGCCTCAAGCGAAGCTTTAGCACGCACTTTGCTGACAGCCGGCTGCGTCGTTCCGTCCGTTCACATGTGTTCCAGGAAGACATGCACAAGTTCTTTTGACAGAAATAGATTTTGCTATTTGTTCTTATGATGCAAATTTCTGGGAGACACGAGTATCTTCACCCCTTTTGAATTTTCACCCCGTTTGAGATTTGCATTTTTTGCTGTAGTTGTGGAACCCCACCCTCGGGTGTTCGGCCGCTCCAAGCCAATATAAGACTGCAACGGCGATGTTTACTGAACCCTCCCCCTGCCCCCCATTTTTTTATTTGCAATGTTTTTTTTAATGTGCAGTAAAAGGGGGCCACATAAATTGGCACGGCACTTTCCCCTCTCCTCCCATGTTGCAGAAATCTCCCGGATTCAGAATCCTTGAACATGGAAGAAATGCACATCTATTTTTAGCCAGCTTACAATCTTTGGTGATCTCTGTGCTGGCACTCTGGCATACTACAAAGAAATTAATTACCTGCTGCTTCTAATACTCGGCTGCTACGTCCAACTTGCTCATTATTTGCAGCGTGTAGTATCACCTTCACAATGTCGTGATCCACTTCTGATGCCAAATTTAACATATTCTACCTGATGGCTGTCTTCAAGCACATTTCTTTCTGCACCTTGCCATTACGATGAGGCTTTTCAGCCAAGAGGCCCACTGCACTGTAGCCCTCAGCATATAATGCGTGCTGTAACAATTCCCTAAGGCTTGTGTCTGCCATATTCTATCCCCACATCAATATACATGCCGGTACACTGTTGCAGAAGAAAACTGCTGAAGACCCGTTTCAACCGACAGCTGCCACTGTTTGGTTCTGGTGTCTTAACACCTTGTTCACTTATTTTGGATTACTGTGGAATTAGACATCAGGATCCAGGAATTCAAGTACGGAGTCTTAAGTCCTGCAGTGTGTCCTCCCACATGACCTCAGACCCCTGCTTTTGCCTCTTATAACCGGGCCCATGCCTTCATGATGAACTGCGAGAGACCAGTGCACAATTCTGCAGCACAAAGTATCGCCCTTTGCCAAAAACTGCATGTTACGTGACTCACCTGCACCACCTCCTTTGACGCCTCCTACCTTGTAGTCAGTCCAGGTTGCTTCTCTCATGATGACCCCCAGCCACCAAAGCGGTGGCTACCGCATTCCCGCAACAGTTTCATCATTGAATGCGATATTTTATGAAAATGAGTGGTACCTTTCATTATCACTACTACCTGTCCTGGTATGTTCCCTCCATGCACACATCTTCCTGGACATCATCGACAGTTCCCAACAGTACATGTCATGCCTGCTGCTACCATGTTGCATGCTGTCACTTCTTTTCTGTACACCGTGTTGCCTACTGTTTGCCCTCTCATTCTGTAGATGTCATGTCGTTTGATCTCGACAAGCACTCTGCGTCGGCCCCAGCTACTGCTGACTTCTACCAAGACGGGAACATCTGACTACACTCATGCACCATTATTATATACACTTAATATATTTCATTTGAGGTTCATCCCTGTGAGCGTAGTAATATACAGCAGGGGCTCTCAAAGTAGGTTCCGCGGAAGCTTAGCGTTCCGCAGGCCCCTCCTAGGGGTTTCGCAAGCTACGGATAAACTTTTTCCTATTCCGCACTCGCACACTCAACTGACTTAGATGGCTATCCCGAAGTGTAATCGATCTAGGGTATCTCCATTATCCACGCACGAGCCTCCATAAGTACGTCTTGGTGCCCGAGAAATAAATCTCGCCTGTAGTTTGTAGCCAGCCAGACTCCGAAAATGGGACGCCCGGTGGCTTAATCTTGGGGGGGGGGGGGGGGGGGGCCTTATATTACCACCATGCGTGTTTCAGCTATTTGAAGACTGGTGCTGCTACGCCTCTGCTATAGTGTACCTCTGCTACGCTCGTTTGTCCACCACCACAATTAGCCCCGCATGTGTTGCACGCTATGCTTAACCCTCTAGACACGATTTTGCGTCGTTCAACATAAGCAAAAAGGTTAAACACAGAGTAAACACAGTTTACAAAATTTTTTTACAGTACTGATTTTGAATTTCAATTTATTTGAAATAAAAATTAAAAACAGCTCTCTAGAAGAAGGGGGGGGGGTTTCCTGGCACTTCATGTAGCTTGGCAGGGTTGCCCGGCACCAACATGCTTGAAAACGCGTGGTCTGTAGCACTATCGGTGCTCATTATCATCATTTGCCACCACTACTTTGTAACGCTTGCAGAGCTTATACTGTGTGACTTGACTCGCAAGCCATAAATAGAATGCAAGCAATCTTGGCCTGGATGAATGCTGCAGTTGCCGCCATCCAGCTCTCGAATCTGCCTGTCGATAACGGGGCTACAACAGCACAGCCACATTAGCCACTGCGACGTCTCTTCTCTCGCACTACAATTGTTTTTTTTTCCACCACCCTTTTGTGACCAGATGTAATTCTATTGAAGTCTGCACATTTTGTTGTGAAAGTGATGCCCAATTGTGAACATTTCATTCATATTGTTACGGGAGGGCACACAGAGAAATGAGGTTACAGCTAAGATATATTTACACGACGCCAAGCCTAAGCTGAGATGGCAAGCAAAGAGCGTGCCCTACATCCCAGAATCACGTCGTCTTTCTCGCAGTCTGTCTTGAGTCATCAGCGTAATGTAGTTGTGTAACATGACCCCCGGGTGCAGAAGCACCATCTCGGTGCTTTCTATGATGTTGTGGAGTGGTAGAGCTTAAGTCGGGAGACATAAACAATGTCTGTAGACAATGGAGCGGAGGGAGATGACGATTTCAGCGGGGCTATCTCGTAGGTAACGTCGGTCACCTGGCGCTAGACGCGGTAGGGTCCTGAGTACCGGGAAAGCAG